TCCCACAGGCTCTTTAGGCTTAAAGTAATGTTTGGTTAGCAATTATGGAGCATTTAAAGGCACTTCCTGTGGTAATACTGTATTGATTTAGGAATAAGAGAACATGCTATAGAGGATACGCTGTTGCTTTCATATTAACTTTAATGTGAACATTTATTTTGTCGAATTATTTTGTTTAATTGCATTTTGAAAATAAATATGATGTAGCACATACAAACATCGTTATTTCATCTCTAAATCAAAACCTCTTTCTTCAACTTGCTGAGAAAATTATTTGTTTCAATTGCTTCAGTATGTAATCAATAATAATCAATAATCTGAAACTCTCTTGTATGAATATATACTTGTAGTCGGTTATATAGTTAGCTTGTCTGTTTGAAATCTCGTTTGATATCCTTTGCAAATAATAGTTGAACACATAACAACATGTATGGTAAAGAATTTTATTCAAAAAAGTTGTCCAGCTTAACTTTATACAAATTATAACTTACAATCAATTACAATCAAGATACATATAATAATTAATTATGCGCTTAAATTATTCATAATATAATTATTACAAATTTCGATTAATCGTTTAAATAATAACATATGTAATATGCCAGTTGCATAGCTTTAGAAAAAGTATTGGATGGAAAAGCACAGTTGTTAAAAATTAGCATAAAATACTATTTTCGGTACAATTTGATTTGCCTGGCTGTTCTACTGGGTCTGGGTTCTAAAGTTCACCTTTACTGTATATCATATCATATATAGTTTTTGTTTTTGTTATGTTAAATGCTTTGTTAGTTGGCAGTTCAAATTGTTTCTGTGTTCCTCCAAAAGGCATTCGAAAATATTTATACTTGTATATAAAAAATGTTGTTAGAAATAATTTAAGGTAGCTCTAAATAATAGTTCATTGTTCATTCAAATATATTCTTGTTGTGTATTTTCTTTACGTCTTAACATTACATTTATTAGCTTAAACGCGAGACATTTATGTAAATAATTGAGATTTTTCAAATGTGTTTGTATGTGTGTTTGTTTATTTCATAATTTTCGTCTATTTTAATTTTCTCTTTAGGTAAATTTCATTTATAATTTAATATATATGTATATATATATATGCTTGTTAATTTTTGTAAATTTTATTTAATGTGTTTATCAGTGTGTGTGTGTGTTTGTTTGTTTGTGTTTAGGGCGGGAGTTAACATTTCCTATGCTGTGTTTGAATGAAGTGGAAAAATTGCTTGCTTTTGTTTTCTTGCTGTGTTTTCTCGTTTATGTTCATGCATTTGCTTTTGTTTTGTATAATTAGGTTTACATTTATTAAATACACATTCATTAGTTTTTGAAAAACCACTTACATAAAAGAGCTTTCTATAATATCATGTATTCATGTTTTATTTGTTTCTTTTTTTGTTTGTTTTTATGAAAATTTTACGTTAGATTTTACGGCATTGGGTTGGGTTTTCATTTGCTTTCTTTAGTTTTTGTTCTTGTTTGTGTTCCTCTTGTAGTTTAATTAAATTGTTTTTTTTTTGTTTTTCTTGTTGTTGTTCTTGTTTGTGCATTATGTAAGTTGAACAGCCTCCTCCCTCTGCTCCTCCTCCTCTCCTCATTTATGGAGCAGCAGCAGCTATCACTCATTTCTTGCCCTCCCCCTTCTGCACGTAGACGATTTCGGCATATTCCGTTGCACTCTTGGCACCAGCCGGTATTGTTGCAGGCGCTACTGGTGTTGCTGTTGTTGTTATTGTAGCCGTTGCTGTTGCTGGTGTTGTTGCCTCATTAGCGGGCTTTAGTACAAGTTCAGCATAGACGAGTTGTTTCTCTTGCTGCGAAGAGGTGGAAAACAACAAAACGGTGTAAAAGTTAGCTTGAACTTCGCGAAAGTATCTTGAAAATAGTTTTTACAAATTATAATAAGCTGCAAGAAATTTGTTCAAAGTGTATGTATATATAAGTAGTATATAAATAGGGCATGTTTATTGGTACCTTTTTTGTTTTGTTTTGTAATTGCATTTTACTTAAAAGTCCACACTGGTGAGGTGCTCTGCCAAACTATAGCCTGCTATAATATTTTACAAATATATGGCATGCGTTTGCAATACGACAAATAGATAAGATTTATAAAAAAAGCAAGTGAGACAGCACAAAAAAGTAGAGAATAAGAAATGGAATATAAATTTGTTGAAATAAAATTAAATGAGAACTATTATTATTATCATTATTTTAATTGTAATTGTTGAGGTTAAGTAGCAGCAGCAGTAGAAGCTTTTACAACGCCAAGCCTAAAAGTATGCTACGCTAAATGTTTACGAATGCGCTCTCAGCTAATTTAAAGTTCATACTGAATCTCTCGCTTCCTCTCTCACTCATCGCACTCAGTTACTGTCACACGCACAAACGCACACACACATACACTCATACACAAACACACTCATACATTCGCATTCACAGATTCAGAGACATTTTGTAGTACCTTTGGTTCATTGTCATTGCCATCGATTGTCTCCGCCAGCTGCTCATTTACAGCCGTCTCTGGCACTGTTATCTCCGTCTCCGCACTATTGTCCTTCTTCTTGGCCGCATCCTTCTCATTGAAGCGCTTTAAAATGGCAACAGCAAAGGCGGGCAAGCGTTTCGCCCGCTTCCCCAACGGCTCCTGCTCACTGCTAGCTGCGTTGCCAGCAGCGTTGACGTTAGCGTTGGCGGCATTGTTTGTGGCCTCCTCAGAGGCAGCTCCTGTCGTCATCGTTGTCGCTGTTGTGGCCGTGGCGGTCGAGGTGGCTTTTATGTCGGCGCTTTCGGTGTCGCTGCTGTTGAATGATGTGTTTGGGTGCAATTGGGGGTATTTTGTAGATGATTTTTTGTTGTTCTTCTCTTGTACTTATACTGTTGTTTTCGTTGTTGGGGCTTTTTAGGCTACTTATTAAATGTGTCAAAATAATTGTATAGCAGGCAGCAAGGGCGGCCGTACGGGCACAGTTAGTTAAATGTAAGGGCAATGCCAGCATGGTAGTAGTTTGGGCTGTAAACTGTGTTAGTCGCATTGGGTAGGTGTGTGTGTATATAGAGGGCTGTGGGTGTGGCTTGTTTGTGTTTCTATTTGTGCAGTGTCTGGTAGCGTGCTCTCTGATCTGTCTTTGGATTAGTGGCTTAACTGGGCTGGTTGTGGATTTAGTGGCTCGTTAGATAGCATTTAATTGCGTAATTGTTTTGTGTTATTAAACCAAAATGTTTTAAAAAGAAAGAGTGTTATATATATTAGACGCACAGAATGCACACAATCGATATAGTCGAAGTCAAATTTATTTATTTATTTTTTTTGTACATTTAGAAATTTAGAATTTACTGAAAGCAATTACTACTTTTTCTCATTCTCTTAATGACATTATAAAGCGTTCAAAAGGCGATTGTTTATTCTTATTTTTTGTACAGTAAAGCAGCTATATCGATTGTGTTCTGTGTAATTTAATGTTTTAGGAGCATAAATAATACTGTAAACACAATAGCCATCTTAGATAATAAGAATCCATTCCCAGTCGATATAAAAATATACAAATGACCTTCGCATTGTCTGCAATTCCCAAAAAGCTGGTGGCCTAATAGCTGCAATTTGTTTGCCATATGCTAACGCACATTAAATATTCTATAAATATTTTGGTCTTCGTCATTTAAATGTCTGCTAACTGTCTGTGCGTGCTTGTTTGGGCTTGGCCCGGCTTCGTTTGCTTTGGTTTGGTTTCGTTTCATTGGCTTATATGCGATATGTTTATGAGTGTTCTGCCCACGTGCGTGTTTGTCTGGCAAGTTGATGTTTATCTATGGCTGGCTGCAGCCATTGTTGTGGTGCCTTTGAGTCAATATTAACAATACGAAACAGGCTGCTTTCAAAACTTCAATTTAATATTATGCATATTGGCTGCAAGTTTGCCTTTGACTCTTTGAGCTGCTGGACGTGTTAAGTAATTGTGCAAATACGAGTATGTGTGCTATGATATATCAGATTTAAAATTCAAGACAAACGGCTTAAACAAAATTTAAGTAAAATTTAAGGGCTTAAAAGCCATTATATGGATTTCTTGTAATGGGAGAATGTAATTTCGAGATTAAGAGTTTATTCTGCTTTTATTCCAATCGAAAAATCGGAAATAATAACTTTTGGCTATTTCTGTTGTTTGTTTTACCACAGTTCTTGCAACTACTTGTAAGCCTCTTAGTCGATATTTGATTTGATTTTGCTGCCACACCTATTTCCTCACACACACAAACACACATAGAGAGACGGCAATAGTAAGGGCACAAGAAATGAAATTCATTGCATTTGAAACAATTTTTTATTATAGCAAAATTGTTAATAATATAAATTGTAAATATTTAATGTAAAACAAATTTATCAAAAGACCTAACTACAGCTTAAGAATTAAATACGCTTAGCTCTTAAAATTTCGTTAGTCAGAGAAATTCTTTAACATTCGTTCCCTCGCATTCGCAATCGTAGTATATATAAACAAAATAACATTGAAAAGGAAAAAGTTGTGCTTTTTAAGGAAAAGTTTAAAATAATTAATACAGTGTGCAGCGCCTAAAGAGAACACAATTTGTTGCGGCTGCAAAAATCTCACTAAGCACTGACTTTATTCTAAATGACTACAGTAAATACTTATGTTTGTATTAAGAATCGTATATGCAAATAAATTTGAGTTCGGACGAGTAACAGCTTCACATGACTTTCAGCATGCACTTTCTAAAGCAAATACATGCCTGAGACTGTACGATATTGTTTCAAATTGTTCATTTTTAAGCAATTGCACGCGATAATATAAGGAGGCAACAGTAGATGTTAAATATTCGATATCAAAGCATATTTGTGTGTGGACAGACTTTTCGCGAAATGTGGAAAGTTTTGTGGAAAGATGGATAATACGTCAGCATATAAAAAAAGTAAATCGAAAAATGAACCAAAAATTCTTAATTGACTGAAGAGTGCTGCTAGTTCGAAGAATTAAATAGACGTATTAAAAAGCGACATCCCATTGCACAGTCTAAAAATTGTTGCCATTTGAAAAAATTAAGTAGACCTTAAACGGTCTCTACAAGCGTACATTTTTGTAGTTTCTAACACATATGTCCATTCTTGAAAACGTGCAGTCGTTCTTGGCGTGTTTCTTTATAAAATTGTGTATCACTAAAAGCTCTCCCGTAAAACATTTATATAAAAAAGTGTTGCCATGCTCCATAAACAAATAAGTACCATTTTCCATATAATTACAAAAAATAAAAAATGTGTGTCCCTAAGCATTTTTCAACATTAACAGTACACACGAAAAGTGTGTCCACACACACACACACACATACACAATACCTTGATACGGGTAAAATACATTTTCTCTTCCGCACAATGCATGCATTTTTAAAGAAATCGAATATGCAAATATATATTTCCTTTCATACTACAGCCATTAACAAATAGCATGCCTTACAGCCTTAATGTTTGTCGATTTTGTTGATGTTGTTGTGAGCAACTGTCGTGAGTTCTGCCTGTTGTCTTGGATGAAAATGCCATGTAAAATTAACTTCCTTAAGCGTTTCAAATCTTTCAGCACGGTCAGACAGGCAAATAGTTTGCATACACATTCAGCTAAAAGCTATTCAACGGACGAGTTTGTGTGTCAATTATTTGCTTATCTGATCGCAGCTTTCTTTACTTAAGCTGCATTTGTTTGTTGTTATTGTTACTGATGTTGAGAAATCGATAACATTTTCAAAAAATAAATAAAATTAACATAAACGACTGATAAACCCTAAAAAGCTACACACACAAAAGAATTCGTTTCTCTTTCGGCCTTCTACGCTGTTATTCTTAGCCTGCTGCTAAGCTTTACTCTAAATTTCCGTTTCCTGCGGTATCTTTGGCATCGTCTGTGTTGGTGTTGTCGCATTTGTTCTCGCATTTGTCGCATTTGTCGCATTTGTTGCTGTGGTTGTTGTCGTTGTTCGCTGTGGCTTTGGCGCTGTGGCCGGAGGCATTGCCTTTGGCTCTGTGGTTGTTGTTGGCGTTTTCAGTTGGATGCGCCCCGAAAGCAGCCTGGCTTGCTTCTCTATCAACTCACGCTGATCCTTGGGTACCCAGCGCGAGAAACGTGACTCTGGTATGCCCAACTCATTGCCACGCTGGAGCAGGTCTGTGTGTTCCTTGGCTTCCATATCACTGTCAGAGCTGGGCGTCTTCGTTTGTGAATTACGTCCACCCGCCTGACCCATTAGTACATTCCGCAATGGCATGGTCGTGGGATTATAAACGCTACTTTCGCGATCGGTTGCATAGTCAAAGGAATCGTCCTGGTCATGCAGGCGCGGCTCCACCGACAGGCGTTCATCTGTGGTTAAACTCTGATGACGACCATTGCCGTTCGCTTCGCGTAGCTTGCTGGCGCCCAAAAGGGTAATGCCATTGGGCGTCTCAAGGAGGGCCACATTCTGGCCATGTTGTCCAGACTCGAGCTGTTTTTCGCTATGGGCCGGCAAAAGGAATACAAACAAAAAAATTGGTTTTGTTTTTTGTGTGACAGATTTGTCATGTTTGGTTTTTGTATTTATTGTTGTTGGTCCAAGAAGAAGTTGTGGGACATGTGACACAGAAACGTCATGTGGTTGATGGTTGGTTGGTTGGTTGGTTTGATGGTTGTTGGATAACATAGTTACATATGAAAGTATATAAGAGAAGTAAGAGAGAGAGAACATAGCAGAAATTGTGATGCATTAGCTAAATGGGCTAAGCTAACTTTATTTTGTTTGGATTTGATTTGATGGCTGCTGCCTCGAAAAGCGGCGATGTCTGGCGAGTGTGGCACGTTTTAGTACACAATTATTCATATGTATATATATTTTATTTTTATTTTTTTTGGATACGGCACGGTAGTGATAGTGAGCGTGAGAGAGTAGAGACAGCGAGAGGACTAGAACTAGTACTAGCGAGCGAGCGACTGACGAGCGGGCGGGCGAGCGTTTTGTAAGTTGCGTGTGTGTGTGTGTGGGTGTGTGTTTGTGTGTGTGTGTGTGTGTGTACATGACAGCGTGAGTTAAACTTTAATTTCAATTTAATTGTCAATTGGAATTTTGCAGTTGGACAAGACACTTCTTTTTTTTTAATTTCTTTGCACAATAGCTTAATCGTTAGCGTGTGTAGATGAGTGTGTGTGTGTATGTGTCTACATATGTGTATGTGTGCTGACATTATAACTGTAAAATTTGTACTATGTCTAAGCCTAGATGGTCAATGATGAGCTGAGCTGAGCATGTGGCATATATAATTCCAGAGTGTATTAATGGGCGAGTTAATGAAATATAAAATTGAAAATTAACATTTACACAAACCGATAAACGATAACTAAACATAAAGCAACTGGACATGCAAAACAAACAAACAAACAACTCAACTACGCAATTATTATTACTGTTATTTTATGTTTTTAGCGATGTAACACATACTAACTTAATGTTTAGCAGCCACTACATATACTAAAGGTACATATACATAGTAGCATATAGCTTTTGCACAGATACCGTGTGTGTGGTTAGTAGTGATTACTGAGCCTTTCCGCATGGCTGAGAATGTGTGCCCATTGCACGTTTTACTTATTTTGACAAACATTTTAAGATTCTTCTTTTGGAAAGCATGACTGTACTTACGTTTCGTTTGTGGGCGTCTTGATTGATTTGCCTGTGAAGGTGAAAGAGAAATTAGTGTGATTCTCAAAATATATATACATGTGTGTACACAATATATTAAAGAAAGTATTGGAGATATAAAAATTGCGACGATAAAAGTGGTCGGGAAATTTCCCATAGTGTATTAGTAATTAAGCGTTGTGGGCAACTGGTTTATTCATTAAAGAACGAAAGAAATCGGTACTAGGTTCTTTAATTATTTTGCCTACACGTCTCTGTTGATGAAAGCTCTTAGAGGCATCGTAAAAATGTAAATAGGCTGTCGATTTAATATGTTCGATCGATGTGATATCCAACGTTTATATTGTTTAGAAAGCGAAAATGGGTGTCTTTAATGTCTGGTATTGGATATGTATATATGTAGATTAATATACTTTTATGCTGTTGTCAAAATCAACTAATGTATTGGAAAATTAATAAATGTACGAAATAAGATTTTAAAATAAACGGTTTCGGAAATGAACCCAATATGTAGACAAATCAATGTTTTTATAGATGAAAGATTTCGTTACGTTTTTTAAAAGATTGGGAAAAATTTAAATGGAATCGGAATGGTTTGAAAATTCGTCTAATGTTGTAATCCATCGGATTATTTATTAATTTTACTTCAACCAAATTTGTTAAAACAAATCTATTTGGTGTTGAGAACTTCGTAAAACAGCATTTATATATTTTGTGTTTGTTTGGTGTTTAAAATAACTATTTGAGAAAAAAGGCAGCAGAACAAACAACGCCAATATCCGGCCATTGCTGGTATTCCTTCATGCGAAAATTTAAGTGAAATAAATGAGACGCATGTTGTCTTTTCTTCACTACATTGCAATTATTTATAAGAGTTACCTTTTTGAGGCAGTTTTTCTTGTTAATAAATGTTTATGTAATTATGAATATCATATTTAAGATTTCCCTTTGATTGAGAGACTATAGAACACCAAGTTGAACACGAGTTTTAAAAAATAAAACACAATTTATTCGCAAGTTTAAAAATATGTTTTTACAACTTACTAAAATTACAAAGGAGCGGAAAACATGTTTTGAGCAAAAAATAACTAATTAGGGTAAAATATTTAAGCCAATATATTTCTACGATTATGAATGTATATTTATAATTTATTATTGTTTAGCTATTTTATTATTCGAGCCAAGCAAATTTATTCATTATTAATGCTGCTTACTGGCAAAAACAACTTTCGTCATTATTATTATTATTTGTCTATGCATCGAACATAACATACAAATAATTATTGGAAAATGCATAAAGCTGGCAGGTCATAGCTTAAATAAATACTCGTACATAGCATTTGCATTGAAACTTGTGCAGAGGGAAAAAAAATTATTTTACAAAATATTCGTAAATATGTAAACATTGTTTTGTGATTTGTTTAAAATAGTTGTGATTGGACGGTGGCCGTTTATAGAATAAAGAGAGCTGTTTGCGAGATTCCCGATTGTACATTTGAGTTTCGACGTTTAGCTTAGATTAAGAAATGGAGCTTAAAACATACTACTTGGCCTATGGTAATTGTAGGTTTTACTTTTCTTTTCTTTCTCATATTATTTGTGCTTTTGTTAATATTTTTAATGCTTAGCTGGCCACACTGATGTGCGTTCGAGCTGTTTTGAGATTGCATGTTTGTGGCTGGGCTCGCTATACAAATACATAAGTAAATAAATATATATTCGTATGTCGAGTGATTTGAGCGCAGGCTGCTTCAAGCAACGTTGCAAGGGCCCCAACATTTCTGAAACCCCACCACTTTAGACGGATGTGTTGGGCGGCTTGGGCACTTCGACGGCGATATTGTGTTGCTGGCCATTGCCAGCGGCAATAACGGCGGCGGCGGTGGCCGCGGCGCTTTTCTTGAAATCGGCTTTCTTTTGCGCCTCCAACTTATCGGTGACTGGGGGCGTGGCCTCCTCAGATTGCAGTTGTTGTTGTGTAGTATCGATATGCTCGTCGCCATTGTCTTGGCCATCGAGTTCATCGTCGTTCTGTTCGGGATGTATTTGGGCCTCAGAGTCTGGACCGATGTCTGTATTAAGTGTGGCGCCTGTAAGAACAACAACAACAAGAACTAACTTTTAGCGTTGTGTGGTTTTGCGTGTATGCGAAATTTTCATTCTGGCTGCACACGCGCCACCATTCCGAAAATCATAACATAAATGGCCAAAAATTTAAATAGCCAGAAACAAAAGAGTGAAAAAGAAAACAAGTTATTGGCCCAAAAATTTAAAACATGTTGTTAGTCCTTTTACCAATGTGAGCAAGTTATAAAGGGTATTTAAAACATATAGAGCGGATAAACATAAATCGTATAAAATGCAAATAACATAAATTTTAAATAAAATTTGGAAGTTTTTAAGCGCCGCTTTGTTGTTAGCTCTTATTGTTGTTGTCATTTGTCGACACTTTACAGCGATTTGTTTTTTTTTATTTTTATTATATTTATTTGTACAATACGTTTTATTAAATGTTTACATACTTATGGAATATAAAGCTTGATTTAAATAGTTTAAATACGTAAATAAACATGCAATATTTTTATTTGTGAGAATTGTACGTTCTGGAAATATATTGGCTTGGAGAGTAAACAAAAGAGTCAATTGCCTGCCACTTTGGTTAGTTGGCAGCCCTTTCCCGAAACGTTCGACTATGTGAGCTACCTTTAAAGAAAACCCCATTTAATTATGTTGCTAAATTGGTGTAAGCGCTTCCTAGACAACACTGCCACCAAAAGCAGCACGTGGCAAGGAGGCAGGAGGCACCCAAAAGTCAAGTGAAATTTTATAATTAGAAGAGTTTTAAGCGCTGCCTGCCAAAATGAATATTCTACTGCTACTTCTTCTTCTGCCCTAAGTTGGCGCTAATTAAAATTTAAAAGCCGCACAATGAGTTGAAAGTTAACAACAGGCTGCGGTCGGCGGCTGGCGGTTGTGCCGCTGCCTGCCATGTGTTTGTTTTTATGTGCCACAGCATGTGGCAATGATGCCCTTCTACTTTTTCATTTTTTTTTTTTGGTGGGTAGTTGGTGATATGGGAGATGCACGTATGCAAAGGATGCCATGCCAGGGATATGGATATGAGACGAGCTTGGTGCTTGTAAGCAGCGCATGTGTGAGACCTAAAGCCAAAAATGATTGTTAGCGTTGCTGATATGGCGTAATGAGACTGAGCTTTTGATGATGACAATGAAGCGAATATGCAGATGATGAGTATACGTATGATGAGCACCCACAGAGAAACAGAGTTACGAAATATCCGTTGTTTCTACTCACCGCCAAAGCACCATCTGCCAGTGGCGCGTGCAAACAGGACGAGCAGCACAATGAGGACGAGGACAGCAACGGCCACAACTATGCCCACAATAGCGGCCACATCCAATCCAGTGCTGGGTGGTCTGCTCGACGAACTGATGCGCACCTGGTAGTCTGTGCTGCCCAATGCATTGCTGGCCCTCAAATTGTATATCTTGGTCGTGTCCTCCAGCGTTAGACCGGCAATGGCCAATGTAACATTATAGTAGTCATTGCCCAGGTATTGCGGCTCATAGGCGGAGAAGCGGTCATTGGTGGTGCCCTGTGGCACAACAGCGCCATCGATGGTCCATTCGATGCGTGGCGTGGGGCTGGAACGGATGGTCATATTGACAATGGCTGTATGCTCGAGATAAAGACCATAGACCAGAGCCTCCTCCTGACGCACGGGTGCATCTGTGAACGGAACAGTACATTTTAATAAATCAAAGATCGATTATTGTGGGCTTATAATTATATATTTTGAAGAGGGGCTACTTAGAATAGTACACCTAATTCTGTTTTTACACGGTAGATTGGTTCCAGAAACAACCGTGCATAAAAAGACATTGATCATATGCAAAAATAGGTGATTGCTTCCTTATCTCTAAAGAAATATATATGAAATTTTTAATTTTCAAACCGTGTGTGTAGGTGTACTTTGATTGAACTGCAAGAATGGAAGAATGGAAGGAGAACTAGGCAATGGAGCCATACAATTGGAAATTGCAATTAATATTTCAGTGACTGTGTTATTCGAACCGGATCTATTCAAATGGTGGCAGTTGATTTAATAAATAGTACATCTTTATAGTCTAAAATTCACTTATCTGTTTTTAATTTTTTATATTTTATTTTAATGACAGACTCCTTTCCCTGCTGATATTTTTATTTAATTCATTTATTTATTTTTATTGAATTAATAGCTTGGATATTTGCTATTTTTTTTTTTGTGCTAGCATGTAGTAGTTCTTGTCAATAGTACAACATCGATTATTTATAACTCGATGTAGTGTTCGGCATAAAACACTATTCGATAAGGGATATTTTTCAGGTCGGGGATTCTTCAATTCATTTTGGCTTTACATAAAAGTGATTAGAATCTAAGAACTTGTATTTCAACTTACATCTGACATTGATAATGTAGGCGGCCTCCTGTGGTGGCACGCTCTCGCGATCCGTTTGATGATGAGAGCGGCAAACGAGCTTCCTGTTGCTATCTTCAGGCGCCAAATGGAACTGTATCTCCTGCACCGATGTGGACAATTCCACATTGTCGTTGGTGGGTGTGGAAAGGATTTCCAATGGTGTAACACGCTTCTGTGCTGGCATATCATCAATGTACCAGGTGATATTGGCAGGTGGGCGACCATCGCGCACAATGCAGCGCGCATTGAACAAAGTGTTTTCGTTAAAGAAACCCTCACGATCAGGCTTGGAAATAAGCTCAATGATTGGCTGTTGTGGGCGCACTGAAAAAATAAAAATGCAATGATTAGAGCGGGTAGTTGGGGAAAATTATAGGCTTGCCTTCACTTAACAAGTTCTTTTTTTTAATGGTAAACAAATTTTTTGGTAGCCAAACTAGTATCTATTCCTCTATTATATTTTGTGAAGGAAATTCAGAGGTATAGGTTTTATCGAACAGAAATGAGGCATTCGTTATTTAAAAATGCTTTAATGCATTAATTTTCGTGACTGGAAGAGACAGTTCCATTGTATTAGTTTGTTAATTCTTATTGCTTTTATTTAGTGCCTAATAATAGCTTGGGGTGAGAGTTGATTATATTCAATAATTAGAGCTTGACTAAAACAGTGCAATGATTGGTACTTTATGGGATTTCTTAACGTTATAAACAAACATTAAAAATGTATTAAATAGATTTGTAATTTTGTGAAATATGCGATTTGAAAGGTAAGAGTATTGCAGATCAAATGGACAGAAATAAGGGCAAGCTTATAGCAGTGTATACATTTTAAGGACAATAGGAGACGGATCAATATAATTAACTGATAACCTAATGCATTCTTTACATGATCTGATCGGATATAACGAGTATGTAATACATACTTATTTATACTCTGGGAAAATATTGTGAGCAATAAGTCAACCATTTATGGTCTGATTGTCTTTTAAAAACTCTCCCGTATACTTTCTTTCCCTTTAACTCCTTTAACGTAGAAATAATTAGGCAATATACTCAGTACATATTACTAGTGATACTTACATGCCACAACCAGATCGATGGTGCCCGATAGTTCCTCACCCTCGACGCCGAGACTGCACTTCACCTGACCATTGTTGCTGGCCTTGACGCGTTCGATGCTCACACCGCACTGGCCGGCATTCAGGCCGGCACCGTAGTATGTAAAGCCTGGTGTTTTGCTCCATTCGGGCGATAAGTTTAGAACCTTCTGCTCGCCTGGGATCTCGATGCGGCAATAGTTGATGGCCCGTCCGTAGCGACACAAGAGCTCTGTGCGATCGCCCTCGTTGAGCAATGCTGTGTTCGGCTCCACGTTCACTTGGCCATATGTGGTCGCCTCTGTAAAGGTGGAAGAGGAGGATGGAAAGATAATTTAATAACTGTGCATTGTTTGTTTGCCATTGTTGTAGTTGTTGTTATTGTTGTTATTGTTATTATTGCATAACGTATGCGAGTATCTTATATCTAATAACTGGCATCTCTTGCATGTCACACTAAACGGCAAAACAATTGCAAGAGTGGAGTGGAGTGGAGTCGAGTTGTTGTTGTTGTTGTTGTTGCTGTTGCTTAATGCACGGTAATCAAGTAAATGACAGTCATATTTTTTTCTGGCAAACTGCACGTACAGCTACAGTATGTACGTTCGTAGTGTGTGCATCTTGAAGATACACATCTGCAGCAAGATAAATGGGCAGCAGCGTATCAAGTAACCGCACAACAACACCAGCAGCAACAACAACAATAAAAAAATTGCTGCCAAAAGTTGAAATATCTCAACTATCAACGGCAAAAGAAAGAGCAAGAGCCACAGTCATGGCGGAGCTATTTCAAATATGCTGCTTTCCATTAAGTTTCAATTAAGTCGTTTTTCTCTTGCTTGCTTTTTTAATTTAGACAAAAGTTTTGGACACTCACACACACACACACACACAGACACACTAATTCACACCACCACCACCACCACTTCAAACTTTTCACTGTCCATTTATTATTGCAATTAAGACATTGAGAAATTTCTGTTCAGGAATTAAACGATTTAGCTGCATTGTCTTCAAGTTGCTCGGAGTATGCATCTGAATACTACAAGTATAGAGATATACAGCAGGGAAGTGGTCCATTTGCCTGTCGCTCCCTATGCCAGTGTGTGGTTAGATTGCCTCGTTTGAGTTTAGTTTTTGAAATTATTTGTTTGGTTTTTGTGCTCTGCAGTCCAGCTGTGAAGTTTGCCAAACGAATTCTGCTAAACCGCACTCTACTCTTCAAAAAGATGGCAAACGAGTGTCCATGATGGGTGTTGGGACAAATAAATAATGGAAAAACAGCATATTTACACTTTCGGAGCTAAGTGGCAATATATTAAATATTAAATGAAGAATGTAACAAAATGAACATTAAATTAAATGAGAAAAGTAGGCAGTAAGTAGAGTAACTGAAAAACTCCTCAAAACTTTTAAATATGCGAATCATTTCTAATATTTGTCTCTGTATTTAAATTGTCAGTCAAATATATATATACTATATATACTATTTGTAGCGGGCGCCAATAGACTGGTTGCGACAGCAGTGCTTAAAATTTATAAGCGGGCTATTCAAAAGAGTTGCCACAGCGAAAAGCTAATAAGAGAGAGTGGCTAACACATATAGTATAATATATCTGACTTGCTTATAATTGAATATTTTTATAACTTTGCAATATATAGTTGTAAACAGAATTGGTTTAAAAAAACAATCAAAACTTAACAAGTTTATCTTTCTACTTTATAAGCAAATCCTACAAATATTCATCTAATTAATGCATTTATAATAAATCTTTTAAGAATTGAGATTGAGTAAAAAAACAAACCATAAAGTAACTAAAGTAAGAAACTAAAGCATTATATCTGGACATGTAGCTCAGAACTAACTTCTTTAGACTCTACTACCTAATCTTCTATTACAACAAATTTTGGCTAACTTTCTTGGATGTGGAATCTGGAGACGATGAAAAAGAATATTAGGGTAAACAAAAAATATCCATTCCAGATAGTTGGGAAAGCTTAGTAAGTTTTGAATGACTCTTGTTTGTGTATCATAAGCAAGTTAATATCTTATTTATGATATTAAAACAAGAAAGGAATGCTAAAGTCGAGCAGGCTCAATTCTTAAATACCCTGTACCACCCCACAAAAAAAAATAATTAATTTAATTAATTAATTAATGTAATTAAATTAATTAACTAAATTAAATATAAAATATTCCATACATACATTTACATTTACATCAGAATCGTGTCTATGCGTGTTGGTGTACTTGTACATACTTGTATGCGTGTATGTGTGTATTGGCCTGGTTATATGGCTATAACTTTCTTTCTAATTACCCTATCATAATGAAACTTGGTATACGGATATATAATCACTAACTGTGTATACCAAATTTTAGTTCAAAATTCTAAGAATTACGGGCGCTATAGAAAATAGTAAATAGGGGGGAGTGGGGGGGGGGTGTATCAGAAAAAATGAACAAACTCGTCATTTCTCGGGCTCAGGAGAATATGTATACCAAGTTTGGTTATTCTAGCTCTTATACTTTCTGAAATTCTTGCGTTCATACAGACAGACGGACAGACGGACACGGCTATATCGACTCGGCTTGTCATGCTGATCAAGAATATATATACTTTGTGGGGTCTGCCGCGCCTCCTTCAGTGTGTTACATGAACATGTACATGTACTTGTACACTCGCACAAAAATAATATACCCTTGTACCCTTTGGGTACAGGGTATAATGAATCAGTAAAAAGTCTTACATGTTGCATAATTTTTCTATCCAAATAGCTCTAAAGGGCTTAAAAGACCTAAAGATTCTGCTTGGGCAGAAAATCTTTACCTTCTTTGCTGGCTAATCTGCATTTCGTTTCGATTATTGTTTGCACTGCACGACTGACTGGCTAGGCAGTGCATAACTGAAATTGGTCAACCATGTGAGCACGGATATGGCCACGGACTATGGCATAACGCTCTGCTGATCGATTGATTTGTTGTCTTTAGCACGAACCGAAGGCATCGGGGTTTCAAAGCAACACTTTTGGCCAAGATGTGGGCTAATTTCGAAAATGAATGCTTTGAGATTTCCAGTGCAGTGCAGCAGACAAAACAAAAGTGCAGTTGGTCGATCATGTTTTGCACGTTTCGGGTTTGTGCACGTCATGAATTGATTTTGATTTCGTTGCGCCTTTTGGCTTTTGAGTGGTGTTGCTAGACGCTTTGTTTGCTCAGCCGCTTGTACAGGAAACATGAAACAACAACACACCAAACACAATAACAATTTGTCTGCCTCCTGCCAATTCAATGGGCACACCACACACATACGAGTACGAGTACACCACATCTTTGATTTGCATTTGTTTGGCTTCAAAGGGGGTCAGCCAGCTGGTCAGTTGGCCGCCAGCTGGCTGCTTGGTAATTTAAAACCGACATTTAACTTTTGACAACTGAGTTGTTTTCGATGTGCCAAGCCACTGCCACTTTAAATTGAAGTTGCAGCTTATCTAGTCATATAGACATATGTATATACAAATAATATACGAGTGCATGCCAAATCCGCCAATCGAGTGTTCGAGTGTTTGGATTTTCAAACTTCAAACTGCTCTTGAATTTCAACGTCAGCAGAATCACAAGCTGTATAAAAAATATATTACTTGTATGTATAAAAAATACAAAGCAGTTAAGCGAGTCCAGCCCGCCTCCAACAATGTCAGATTCACAGCTCTGGCTGTGAAAACAACAACCATGACAATGACGACGTATGCTCGATAGTCGAAACCACCGCCACTGCCACCACTCACTGTAAATCTATTTTTTATTTGGTCGAGCCAATGCTTCAGCAAATCCAACGCGTCGTTGCTCACCGAGACACACCGCACCACACACCACACACCACTCTACACCACACACCACTTCATCCATCCCACCAACCGTCCATCCAGCCATCCATACATTCGAACGTCCCTGCTGGTATTTATTTATTTAGCTTTTTGCAAGCGGAATTTTCAGTGCAACATCGATGGATGGATGCTTCAATGTTTTCTACTGTTACGTTTATTTCTTATTTTCTGTTGCTTCTCTGAATTTTTGTGACGTGTCTGCAGTTTTCAGCGTTGGCCAACGACTGCCTCCTCGATTCTATGGGTAGCTGCTTCTGCTTCTGCTTCAGTGTCCAGTTCAGTGGCTCCTCGTTACGCAGGCATTTCGTCAGTTTTTGTATTGCGTTTAACTTCTGGTAGAGTATCGTCTGGTATGGTCTTTAAGTTGTGGCATGCCACACATACACACACACACACACATACAAACACATATACATGCCCATTGAAATCATTTCACTTCACTTTCTACCAAATTTTATTGCATTAAACGCGCCATAAAATCAGTTCGCCTCCAACCCAATCGCTGTAGTTGTGCTTTGTATTTATATAGCCACGTAAGCGTCTTTTATTTGAAACGTGATTTTCCCTTAAATATTACCCACTACTACTATATGTTTCTGATTTTCTGGCTGGCACTAAGCCACCATAAACAATTTTTCGCTACGTTTGTTTGGCGCAATGCTCACTGGGGGGGCTGAAACGGTTGAGAAATGTCCAAAGCACGAACTTGCGGTTTTTGTTCGAAAGGGATTTTATCCTTGATTACATATGTTTGCATTCTAAACAACAACGAGCCTTGGATTTAAAAATAGTCGCTAGACTAGTTTAAATTTCTTATTACAGTTTGATTATTTTGCTTCTCAATTCAAAGTCAAGAGAATGCTTGAATGCTTATTTTAATAAGTTAGCAGCATTCTATTACAGAATTGTGCGTCCAGCGTGAAATATTTATATAAAAGAGTTGAAACCATTTACAATATTTGACTTGCAACCAAAATGTTATTTCTCTTCTCAATTTCCTGTCAACAAAATGCTGTGGCAACACTTTTTATACCCTGTACCCAAAGGGTACAAGGGTATATTAGTTTTGTGCGAGTGCACATGGAACACACAGAAGGAGGCTTGGTAGACCCCACAAAGTATATATATTCTTGATCAGCATGACAAGCCGAGTCGATATAGCCATGTCCGTCTGTCCGTCTGTCCGTCTGTCCGTCTGTCCGTCTGTCTGTCTGTCTGTATGAACGCAAGGATCTCCGAAAGTATAAGAGCTAGAATAACCAAACTTGGTATACAGATTCTCCTGAGACCGAGAAAGGACGAGTTTGTTCATTTTTTCTGATCCACCCCCCCACTCCCCCCCTATTACCGATTTTCTATAACTCCCGTAATTCTTGGAATTTTGAACTAAAATTTGGTAGTTACATTAGATTAGTAATTATATATCCGTATACCAAGTTTCATTATGATAGAATGATCGGAAAGAAAGTTATAGCCATATAACCAGGCCCAATGCACACATACATACATATGTACAAGTACACAAACACGCATAAGGCAGGATTCTGATGTAAATGTAAATGTATCTATGCATGCATGGAATATTTTATATTTAATTAATTAATATTTAGTTAATTAATTAAATTAATTTAGTTAATTAATTTAATTAAATTAATTAATTAATTTAATTACTTTTTTATGGGGTGGTACAGGGTATTTAAGAGTTGAGCCTGCTCGACTTTAGCATTCCTTTCTTGTTTTAAATGAATTTGGCAGCACACCAATAAAATGGTCGCATGGTTAGGAAAAACATTTAAATACATAAAACTTAAATTTCTGCTATTCGTTGACCATGAATACGAATATATACATATTGAGTTTCTTTTTAAAGTGTTATCGCCATCTTTTAGTTTTCCGCTTAGTTCATTTTTGTGAGTTGGGGTTTCTTTGTGTCCGCATAGATAAGACCATACAAATTACATATAAATATATGCCGCATATACATACATATGTACATATTAATGCTTATGTATTGCGGCATTGTATTTCATGCAATTTTCAATTTATCTGCGGTGATTTATCAGCTTTTGTCTGCCACTTTTGACTGCCGTCTGCCTACCTGCAGCGAAAAAAGATAATTATTGTTGATTTATGGCAACGGGAAACAGTCGGAGCTGGCCATAACTGTGCAACTGATTTTGGCATTAGCCATGCGAGCATTGAAAGCAAGCGGAGGTCGGGCCAAGTCAACTGCAATAGACACGAGGAAGCAGTTGGCGGCCATAACTTGTTAACTTTTATATCACTTTTTTTTGGTTTTTTTGTTTCTTTCTTCAGGATGAGGAGGCAAACAACTTTTCGATGAAACGTGTGCTCGATTTTTGGCTATTAATAATGAATGGTTATTATTATTACCAATTGCCGTGTCTTGGCCTTTTACTTTTTCTATTTCATTATTAGCTTAATTTATGGCCGATAAATCATTTATTAAATTTCCTATTTGATTTATACTGATAACAAGCATTGCAACTACAAGCCGTTGCGGGCTAAAAATCAAAGAGTCAGCTTAGAGCCAAGTGAAAAAGCGACAAATTGCACAAACAACACTAAAACGACGCGTCGTTCGCCTAACTGATGTGCAAATTACGAGCCCAGCACCGAAAAGCTTAAGCGAGAAAGTGTTGCCAGTTCAACGGGGTCAATAAAACAAGCAAACAACAGCAGCAGCGGCAACAGTCGCGGGGACGATGGGTTGTGGTTCAAAACATGCAACTTCCACACGTGGCAAGTATGCTTCAACATATTCGTTGGCAGCAGTGCTGCCGAGGTTTGGCTGGAAAAATGGCGAACTTGGCGGAAATTTAAAGCTAATTTAACAATTATTAGGGATGTATGCTGATATTGCTGAAGTTAAATTATTGTACAAATATCGATCACCAATTCATGCGCTGCGTTTGAAGGAATGATAGAAATATGATCTTTTTTCACTAAAAGCTAGTATGTTTTGATTTTCATTTTCAATTGTAGCTCAAATTTTAGTTTTTATTTATTATTTTTCATATTTCTTTTACTTATTTAGGAATTTTAAGCAAAATTTGTAAATTTTTACCTTTTTTTAAGCCACCCATTAAAATAGTAATTTTCATTTTTTTGTGGAACAGAAATAGTTTATTCCCTTATTCAATATTTTAAAAACTTTTCCAAACTTTTTATTCAATTTTGTACTATTTTTTGAAGCCAAATAGTAATTTTTTCCCCCCTTTTTGTTAAATACGAATAATTTATACTCTCTTATCCAATATTTTAAAAACTGTTTGCAATGCATTGTTTTATCTTAATTTTTATCTTTTAACTTTTCATATTTATTTAGTAATTTTGAACAAAATTAGTACTTTTTAACCGTTTCATAAGCCCCTTATTCAAATTTGCCCCTTTTCCGATTAACACAAAAATGATTTACTTCCTAATGCAATATAAATAAAATAAAATATGTTTGACAGTTTGCCACTATTCTGGGAAAAACAACTTTTCCATGTTTATTCCAAATATAATTTCGACACTTTTTCATTGCAATTAAGTTTCTTTTACATTTTTATTGCTTTCATCATTTCATTGAAATTAGCTCTTCAATTTGTCTATTTCTCTGAGAAAATAAATAGTTTATTCCCTTAAAAAAATTTGATTTCAAATGTAGTTAAATAATTTCCACAATTTGTCCCTTTTTTGAGGAAATACAAAAGCTTAACATGGTTCTTCACTTTTGATAAATAAATAAAAAATCCTTTAAAAATATCTATTAAAGTTGCCTAGTTATTATTTATTTTTATACTCTGTACATGAAATGTACAAGAGTATATTAGGTTTGCGGGAGCTGAAAAATGTAACAGGCAGAAGGAGGCGTGGCAGACCCCACAAAGTATATATATTCTTGATCAGCATGACGAGACGAGTCGATCTAGCCCTGTCTGTCTGTCTGTCCGTCTGTCCGTCCGTATGAACACCTGGATCTCAGAGACTATAAGAGATAGAGACACCAAATTTTGCACGAAGATGCGTTATGTGTGTATTCTATACGAGTTTGTTTTATTTTTTTGATTTCCCCCCCCACTTATGGGGGTTTTCCCGATTTTCCATTCGTATAATCGCCTATATCTCGGAGACTATAAGACCTAGCAACACCAAATTTTAGTCCCAGATGCCTTATGTGAATACGCAGAAAATGTATATTTTGGAATTCCCCTCCCTCCCCCCTCTACCCCGCAAATCGTAACTCCCGTAATTCTTGGAATTTCGAACTAAAATTTTGGAAATACCCCCAGTTAGTTATTATGTGTCCGTATGCCTAATTTCATTATGATTGACCGATTTAACAAGAAGTTATAGCCATAAATATATTTGCTGATGCAGCGCTGCTGCAGCGCTGCTCAAGCGCTGCCCGCGGCTGTTGTTGATGTTGCTGTTTGGTTGACTGCGAAAATGCTTACACAGACACGAATAGATGCGCATAGGCATACATACACTCACACAGACGCAATTGCTATGTAAATGTGCAATTATACACCGTTTACGTGAGTTCGAATACCGAGAGAGGTAAAATCGATCAAATTTTTTTTTTTATTTTCTTAATTTTTTTATTTTCTATAATTATTGTAAACATATGTACAGAGTATTTCAAAGTCGGGACACCCGACTTTAGCTTTTTTACTTGTTTTGTTCATTTTTACGATATATCTGGCGGGGAAAAATCTTGAAGTTCGCATTACTGCTGGCAGCAGTTTGTGCATTTTAAAGATGCAACTTTTAGATACGGCGTGTGTGTTTCCTCTTGCCGTATATGTATGTATGTGTGTGTGTGTGTGTGAGAGTGTATTTTTGAGATTGCTGGCTTAACTGTGCAACGATAGCATGGCAATTTTCCTTTTTCCTTGCCGTCCGTTTCCTTTTATTTTTTGAGCGAAAGTGCCGGCGTAAGGGCGCTTTGTTTGCCATCTATGATTGAACACTTAATTTCGCTAATCGTCGCGCATAAATCCTGTACTTTGGCATTGGAAAACTCGTATTTCCCACTCTCTGTTGCCCGCCAATCCGTTTTTTTCCTCTTCTTTCTTCTGGTGAGTGCTTGTGAGTAAAGTGAAAGAGTTTCAAATTGGTTTTCTGGGTTTGGCCACAGCTGCAATTTGTTCATAAATGTGCAAAGTTTGTGGGGTTTGTTAAACAAGTGAAAGTTTGCCAGGCAATGACAGAGACATGTAAAACCAATCTGCAGTTTTTGGCGGCGCGCGATGCCCCGAATATCCAGTCTGTGTGAAATGGCACATGGGTGAAGATTGTGGGACCCCTGCGTGAACAATTCAGATGACCCATGGCTATGCCATATAAGAAATTGTCACAGAAGACTGGACTGCCACGATCGCCTTCGCACCATTCACACTCCGGCTCCATACTCTTCACACACAAGTTCGCATCGGAATTGGCCTCTTCGATTGTCTTCTTAATGAGATACGTTTCCAGGCAATCATCCAGCGGCAGTATTTTAGCATCTATGAAGAGTAATTCGTTCGATTTGGGACCGTACTGTGACAATATTGAGAATTAAAGAGAGAGACTTTTCCCTCTACTCGTACACATGCAAACCTCATAGAGTCGACCCCAGCCGAGGGCTACGCATCGCTTTCCCGGCTTCACTACCAGTCGGCCGATGGTAACGGTTGCAATAAACTTACTAAGCGGCACCTCTCTAGTTAATTGGATGACGGCTATATCGTGAAAATTCTGTCGCCTGTACAGCGGATGCAATTTTATGCTCTTGACTTCTACAAAATATTCATTTTCCAGATTCCGCAAGCGGTAGGGAGAGCCAGCGACGACGACAACACGTCTCGTCCGCACAACCGCTCCATTTCGGCTAACAAGGATTGGTTAATACCTAACAATAGTAATGAAGGCAAAACTCAAGTCCGAGTACCTACTCTGTCACGCAATGGGCCGAGGTGAGAACTGTATCCTGACTGGCCAGGACACCGGCACAGAAATGAGTGCCCCCCGACAGTCCGATGGAGAACGGGGTGCGCAGCGAGACGACGGTGGCAGCTAAATCGGTGTTGCTTTGATCCAAATCATTCTGTGTGATGTAATTGAAGTATATATCCTTGATACGATCCCGATAAGCATTGATGTAGCTACTAGCTGGCTGTTCGAGCACCGCGAACAATGCTATTATAAAATGAGTGTGAAGAGAGTACCGCATTACGAAATACAAGTATATCTTAGATATGTTTTGTGTAGATGGCGTTGCCAAAAACTCACAGCTGACTTGGTTTAAAAAGCAAATAATACAGATCAAGATTAAAATATAAATGAAATCAAAAAGTGGAGTTGAGCTAACGAGAAATAAAAAGTGAAGAGTCTTAGATAGTTGAGACCTCTTAGTGTATAAAGAATTGCAAAGAATATTAATAAGCTCCTGAATTGAAGGAATGTGCTAACTGGCGCCCAATGTGGGGCCGACATCTTGTTTCTGATATTAAGACTTAACTAAATGGATGCTCCTGCTGAACATAACTGACAGGCTGAATAGAAAAGACGGTACTCCCACATGCCAGTCCAAATTACACTTTCTTCATTAGGCTTTTCTTCAAGTTCAAGCAATGCTCGAGTACAGTGCGTAAGTATATCAAACCACATGTTGCCACTCGATAGCCCGAAAACCACTTGCTTCAGACAGTTCTGTTAATTATTGTGCAGCATATGCCAACAAGTCTTTAACTTGCCCCACAATTTCCTCAATACTTCTCGGCTACATCCTTTCAAGTACTTGTACTTGCACTTCACTTTTCGATGAGCTTATAAGCGTCTTATTGTAATTACCTGACAATATGGCCAAGTGGCAGGCACTAGCAAACAAGTACAATAACAATAACTGCTTGTTGGAAGTGCAGAGAGTGGTTTGCATATTTGAATGCCGGCCGACAAAGTGCAGAATGCAAAATGCTTATTAAACCCTAGGAATTATTATCATAATTAATGCAGCAGCAGCAGCAACAGCAGCAACAGCAGGAGTCGGAGTCGGACAACTGCTGTCGAGGGTCGAGGCTGGCCTTGGACCAAAGAACTGACCGCAGTCGGGCTGTCCTGAACAAAGTTGGTTGCAGTTGCAGTTGTTGTTGCTGTGACTTATTGAGAAATTTATGCAAATATGGCGCATTATACAAAGTGATTTGCCGGCTACTGCTGCTGCCAGTGCTGCCACTGCTGATGCGGATGCGGATGCTGATGATGACGTTGGTCAGTGCAACCACTGGCGTCAAAGTCAGCGCCGGACATGTGATAAATTTTGCGGTAAGGTCTCGTCATAAATTTCCCAAGTGTGCGCTTGAAAAGCGATTTATTTAATATGCATGTTGCTGTACAAATACTCGCACACATCCATATTTAGGTTGTAATATTTTGCACAAATTTGCCAAATTAATTGCGGCACTTTGTGCAGCAGCAACTGAAATTTCTGGCTGCCATACCAAGTTGTGGCTGGCAGCCCATTCAATGATTAGTTAACGACATAGCTTAACTCTCCGAAGACATCGCACATGTGCTTAACCCTTTAAGCCCCCAGCTTAATATATACACACACGAGTATGCTAAGCAAAAGCAATTTGCCACGTGCCAGCAATGACTGCCAATTGTATCAAGACTTTTCATATTTTAAAGCCAACAACCAAAAAAGAAGCAGAGTGAAAAAGTTTCTGGCTGGCAATAGACATTGCCGGATCCGTAATTTAATGCATGAAACGCACGAACACGCAAAAAGCGATGGGCAGACAGAGGAATGAAAAAAGAAAATATAAATGGAAAAACAGACGGGCACTGAACACGCCAAGTTATGGTAAGCGAAGAAGCCCCTTCTTGATAGACCAGCAGGGTGACCAGAATTTTTACTGCAAATAGGCGGATTTTCATATGCAGTGCTGGCAAAGAGATATTAAAGTTGCGTATAAAGGATGAATGGTGTTGATATATAACATCTCATTATTAATTCATGAACAATTGACAATTTGTAAAATTATTCAGTTGTGAGGTATCGCAAAATATGCAAATTCCCATTTACTTTTTAAATTGCAAATACATCAGAAATAATGTCAAAAATGTAAACAAATAAATGGAATAATTCAGTTGTTAAATATTTATATTAAAAATGTATCGATATCTTATTAAAAACTCACGAAAATAAATCAGTTTATGAAATGGAAGAAAAATACATTATTTTGATCTTAACTGCCAATTGAGAATCAAATTAGCTTTGCGAACAAAAAATAAGATCGAGATTGAGGCATCAAAGCAAGTAAAGGAAGAAAAGTAGCAACGAATAAGATATATTTATTGATCTAAATATCCATCGGAGATTACTAACATGATCGCCTTTCTATTTGGCGAATGTATTTAAAATTTCAAAAGTATGTAAATAAAATGTTACAGGGACTTATTGGAGAGTGTTTTAAAAATTCGAAATTTTATAGTGTGCTCAGGTAATACTACTCGGAACATAAAGAGCCTCTGAAAATTCTGAAAGTAATCCTGCTTCTCCGTGTTTTAAGTTGTATTTAAATTTAACTAAATACGATGCTGAACAAGCTAGTTGGTTTTAAAATACATACACAGATCTGAGTGCGGCAAGTGTATGGTCACCCTGGCAGCCAGAAAAGTAGACAGACATGCAGCCAAGCCATTCAAGCAGGCATTCATTAGAATAATTTTTATACACACGCGCCAGTTTCTTGCACCTACAGCGCGCCCAGGCCTGGCCCTTCGCTGAGATATTTAAATGGCAAGACAGACATATGAATTTTGGGCAAACAGAATTTCCAAAAATGGTGGAGAAAAATGGATATCAAAGCATAACCGACTTACTTAGTGCGAGGACTGTCATACACAAACAACAAACAAATGACGTGTATTAATAACGGTAGAAAAAGATGCTGCCTATTTTGAGGCGCAGTGCCAAGTGTCGCCTGGCATTTGGAAAACATTTATCAAGCCTGGGGAGTATGCAAGGTGTTTGCTTAACAAAAAATGGCTAGGCAAATCAAGGCAAGGTAAATAAAGTCAAAAAGTAGGGCTAGGCAGCCGGCCAGACGACAACACGGCTCGTAAGTGCGTTTTAGCTTAAAACCAAAATGGCGAAATGTCTGGAGCTGCATTGTGTCTGGGCAGGCAGCTGAATGTTTGGTGGGGGCTTTAATTGTTTTTGCGTGGTGCGCTGACAGACGAGGACAATGTCGACGTCTTGGCCACAAAATAAATTGATCTGTGGCTTTGGTTTTGGTTGTGGGTCATAATTTATATGCCCCCCTGTCTGGGGGAAGTCTGTGAGAGGAATGGGGGCCTACGAATATTTGACAAATGTCTGCAAGTCGTAAAATGCTTTGGCAAGGGCAATGAAGTATATGTTCTTTTTTTTTATTATTCTGCACCGCCTGAAGCACCTCAACATTAATTTTATTATTGTTGCCATTTTGTCATTGCGACAAAATCAATTAATTATTTTTACTATCGCAAACGCATTAGGGGTGTTGGAAAATGGCGAAAGGTGGGGGGTATTCGTTGTTATTCTTACGAGTATTATTATTGGAGTATGGTCGTGGACTGCTCTGTCCCTGTTAATGATGGCAAAGTCAACTTGGCTCTTTGTTTATTGTACCGTCCCCTTGCAGCCCCCATAGTGGATGGTGAAAATTAAAGTTAAACAATGGGGGACGGGATATTGAAATTGGTTCTTAGCCAGCTCCAGTTTATGACTATCCAAGCCAACTACATATAACGCAAAAGCTGTTAATACTGGGTGTGAAAACTATATTAGTTTTTGTTATTTATTGCTAAAGCTTATATTGTTTTAGGTGCTCGAAAAGCGAAACATAAAACTGTGCTGATTTCTCACTTTATGGCTCCACATGCAGCCTTTGTGAGGGAAAATCCATTTTTAAAGTAAACAGAGCATGTTCAGATGCAAGCTGGCAAATATTTTGCATACAAACTCGTTCTGAGTTCAAAAATCGACTACTAGAAAACAATTTCACGCTGCGCATATTGGATAGACAGCTTTTGTAAATTGTTGTGAACTGAGATGTTCGTTGTATGGAAAATTCGTAGAGTAGTTTCATAATTAGAAGAGGAGAAGGAAAGGTCAGAAATAGACAAATATATATATATTTTTTTTTGTATTAGCAGAGTGTTCTTATTTAAAACAGTCCATCGTTGACAATAATTAAATTTGGTTAAGAAACTGAACGATTAATTATTTCATTTATGATGAGGTTGTAGTATCCGGCTTGTCCTCCTGGCTCCAGCATTCTGACCCAATAGACAAGCATGATAACTTTATTATAATTATGCCAACTTGGGGCCATTAATTCGATGTTTTTAAAGTGCTTAAATCATCTCTTAAGTAAGCCGATGTTACAGAGCTCGCAATGCCATTGTGGCTGACAAATTTTTGGCGGCTTGCTGGATCGTTTAATTCCCTGGTTCTACTAAAACTTCTGGCAAACAATGCGTAGTACTTCGACTTAAAAGGTATTCAAAGTTATTCGTTTTGCATTTGAACAGCTCAGTATTCAAAAGAGCGTCAGTGTATTCAGTTTTCAGTGAAGTTTTTCGTTTGTTTGCGGCCGACGCGTTGCATTTTAATATCACATTTCATATGCAAAACTAATTTGTATGCTAAGTACATGCAATTATTTTGTTGTTGTTTTTAATGCAAGTGCAATTTGTGTTTTTTTTTTTTTTTTTTTTTTTTTTTTTTATATGGCTACCTATTTATTTGTGTTCAGTTGGCCATAAATGAAATTACTCGCATGTGTCATCGCAGTCAACAAAAAAAAAAAAAAACGATGAACTATGTGCAAAATTTTATTTGCTTTTCTCTCGCTAGCGGTAGCGGTATGTAGAGGCCCTAACGGTATCCGTGCCATAAATGTCTTTGAACCCGTCGTTGGCAAATTTTTTGCACATTACCTTCGTTAGCTGATCTTTTGAGCTGATTACTAAGCGACGAGGCGGCAAGCCTGTTGTTGGCCGTGAGTCAGAGAGTGGGACTAAACAATTGACCCTAATTAGTATTAGATGGCGGACTTAGTTTTTAGTCATACGTGTTTGTTTTATTAATTGCAAAAGAAACTTTTCTCCGCCGGCCGTTCCCCTTTTTTCATTTAGGTTTTATGCGCATCACGTCTGGCCCAAAACTTAATAGAATTTTTGCTTGATAAATTCAGTTTTTAATA